TCTTCATTTTACCTTTGGCATTGTCGCTTAGGACATGTCTCTTTTAGTTGTTTGAAAACTTTGGTTTCTAGTGGTTAGTTAGGTCGTGTCCGTCTTGAAAATGTCAATTGTTTATTTTGTCAAATTGCTAAACAAGTTGCCTTATCTTTTAATAAAAGTAATTTCATTCTACTGCTCTTTTTGATCTTGTGCATTCAGATATTTGGGGACCTTTCCCCATACTGACCACAGGAAGGTCAAGAAAATTTGTGATTTTTGTTGATGATTTTTCTCGTTATACTTGGCTTTTTCTTTTCAAAAATCAATATGAACTTAAACAGATTTATTATGATTTCTCTACCCTGTTCCTCACTCAGTTTTCTCGTACTATTAAAATATTTCGTTCTGATAATGCTAAGGAGTACTTGGATTTTGAATTTATTTCTTTTCTTCAGGCTAATGGTACACTATCTCATCGATCTTATGCAGGCACATCCCAACAAAATGAACGAGCCGAAAAGAAGCACCGTCATATTCTAGACACTACCTGGGCCCTTCTCATCTTCTTGTCCTAAACAGTTTTGGGGTGAAGTTGCCCTCACTACCATCCACACCATAAATCGTGTACCTATACCTGTCATAGTTAATACTTCTCCTTACAAGCACTTGTATGGTTCTCCTCCTAACTATACCACTCTTAAAGTTTTTGGTTATGCTTGTTTTGTTCTACTTCAACCTCATGAGGCTGAGTATCGTGCTCTTATTGACATTATTTAGGAGCTTGTGTGGCTTCGTTGGCTTCTTTCTGATATGAGAGTTTCTCACTCTGCTGTCACCAATCTTTATTGTAATAACCAGAGTGCTATTCAGATTGCACATAATGATGTCTTCTATAATCTCACCAAGCATATTGAGATAGATTGCCACTTCATATGACGACATGTTACTAGTGGCAATGTTCGTCTTCTCTTTATTACTTCTGCTGATCAGACGGTCGACCTCTTCACCAAAGCTCATCCTCCAAGACGCTTATCTGATCTTCTCTCCAAACTCAAGTTGATATCTGCCTTATCACCTTGAGCTTTAGGGAAGGATTTAGGAGTTGTTTGGGCTGTCCTAAATAAGTGCATTTTTTGTCTTTTTAGACTAAAAAGTTGAGGAAAAAATGTGGATGTTTGGGTTAACTTTTTAACTTTTTATGAAAAGATGTGTATTAAAAAATTGTATAAATAAGTGTGTAGGAGAAGATAGTGAAATAGGCCGTACGGGTTGGCAGTGCAATCGGCTGGGTAAGAGATGAGAAAAGATTGCCTCCTTTTCGAGCTTTAATTGGACAGTGTTGTTCGGCCCGTGTGGGCCCACCATGGGTCCCGCTTTTCTAATTGAAACCGCTCAATATATAGAACTCGTCGAGTACTATACGCTTGTAAAAAATCACCTTGATTGGATATCGATAGTTATCTGATCGTATTAATTTTTTTTGTCAACTGTTAACTATAACACCATCCATTTTTTATACAAAACTGATTTAATCATGTAGTTAGCGCTATCCAATAGACGTGATTTTTATAGGCATATAGTACTAGACGAGTTCTACATATTGAACGGTTCGAATTATCAAAACGGGACCCATGGTGGAGCCCTACGGGCCAAACTTTACCATCCAACTTAGTGAATATACACATGTAATTTTTTTTTCTTTCACTATCTTTGCTTTGACGTCAGTACCTACAGTGGCGTGAAATTGAATTGTATTTTAATATTATGTATATTAATTTTTTTATATTTTTTTTGGTGAATAGTGATAACTTTTTAACTTTTTTGGTAATTTTTTGACTTTTTTTAAAGTTCCCAAACTAGGTCTTAGTTGTATATTAGATGTGTATATCTATACTTATCTATTCCTATACTACTTAGGTTTCTTGTATACTTAGTTTTCTTGGCCTATATATACTGGTTTCTCCTATTGTATTGTATACATTCATTAATATAATTCATATACTTCTCTCTCTCTCTCTCTCTCTCTCTCTCTCTCACACACACACTTTATCATTCGTAAATAAAGATTTTACGACAAAGCCGTAAAGAAGTTAATCTCATTTTTTTCTTCTATACTTTATTGTTTTATTAATTTATTAGGAAAATGATATACAAGTCCACTTTTAATTTTTTTTTTTTTTTTTAAGATTTAAGCTCAGATCTGTGTTAGATCTGTTATTGATGAAAATGATGATGATCTTCTCTCTCTCTCTCTTTCTCTCTTTATTATTTGTTGTTGATGGTTGGTTGTTGTTGTTGATGTTGATAATGATGACGAAATATATTGAAACAGATAGGGGGAGAGAGAGAAGGATTCCAACAGTGGATTCATGAACAAATTTTTTAATAGATAGAAAAAAAAAATTGAATATATAATTTTTTGAACAACGGATTTGTTAAAAATGAGAATTTGAGCAGATAAGTTAAAAATGAGAATTTCAAAACACACACACACACACACACAGAGGTAAGTGTAAAAATGGAACAAATAACAAAATTTTAAACAGATAAGGGGAAAAAATTGAACAGATAGTCAAAAAACTTGAACAAATAGATATAAATTTGAACAGACAGTTAACGAAAAGTCAACAGATAAATTAAGAGGTAAAATTAAAAATAAAATGTCCTAAAAAATCAACAAAAAGACTTCTCATCAAACTATTTTATAAATGGTGGACCTCTTACCAACAAAAAAAAATATCCACTAGACCTAATACCTTATACCCTCTTTATATTGGACTTTTTAATAATTTTCTCTAAAAAATATTTAAAAAATTTAATACAAAATATATTAATTTTGAATTTTCATCTTTCATATTGAATGAATAATTTGAGACAGAGATACTACAAACCAAACAACCTCTTTTTGTTTAGTCCTGAAATTGAGAGACTCTTTTATAAGATTTCTCTAATAATCACCTTTCTTGCCTCATTTTGTCTCCTGTCACTTTCTATATTTTTCTCTCTCCTTAATATTTTTTTTTTTTGTTTTTTTTACCTTCTCCTAGGTTATATTTTGTCTCTCCATCTCTCTAGAAAACAAAACCGCTTTTTATTTTATTTTTTTATTTTTTTATTTTTTAAGTCCTCTTTGAAATTAAGATAGACTCTTACAAGATTTCTCTAACAATAAATGTTCACCTTTCTTCCTCTCTCATCATGTCTCTTATCTCCAATTTTGTCTACTCTCCCTTTTCCCAGTCACTTTATGCATTTTTCTCTCTCATTACACTTTTTTTTTTCCCCCTTATATTTATGTCACACTCTCTCTCTCTCTAGAAGACAAAACCACTAACTTCTTTTTTAAGGAAAAAATACAAATAAGTTAAATAATTACTAATACATTAAAATATGTAGGATATGTAAGATACAGATCCTACCTTCTGATGTTAAATAAGAAATCTTAAAATTCATAAAATTTATCATTAATTTGAATTTTTTTCAAAAAAAAATATCAATTGATATGTTATTCTTCCTTTTTTTTTTTAGTCCTTTGAAATTGAGAGACTCTCATAAGATTTCTATGATAATAAGGAAAAATTTCTGTTGAGTGTTAATTTAAAAAATAATTATAAATCAATAATAAATTTTATATATATTTATAATTAAATTCTTAAATTCTTTATTAATTTATAATAGTTTAGTAAAAATAGAATTGGCAAGTAAAAAAAAAACCTGACCACAAAGGGGTGACTTCTAGAATTTCAGCTCCTAGTCTAGCCCCTTTGACCTCGTTTGTTTGACAGATTATGTTGGATATGATTATTAATACAATAGAATTGAGTGAGGAGATTAGTAATAAAGTGAGATTAAGTTAAAAATGTAAGATAAATAGTGTTTGTACACTACTAAGTTAATAATACCATAGTAATAATTTTTATTTTTTTACTATTTTAAATGGATTTATATATATAAAATATTAAAAAATGGCACTAATATTCCGCCAATTTTCACAAATGAAATGGAGAAGTCAAGAAAAAGGGGCCAGAGAGGCAAAACACTCTTTTCAATATTAATTTCCTAGCTAATTCACTAATCTCATTGATCATTTCACAACTAAACAAGTCATGAGTAGGATCCACATCTAACCTACTCCAACCTTGTAGGAAAACAAGCATGACCTTTGAGACCTCAAGAGAGTGGAACTTGGGGAGGAGAAAGTTTTTTTTTTTTTTTGTGAACAGTGGGAGCTCAAGGTTTATACCTACCAAATTCGAGCAAGGATCTCCTCCTTGACTCTCTTATTTAATTTCTTACTTGATGGGTTTTTAGACCAATTTTTGGGTAGAATTTTGATGATCCGAATTGTTCACATTTTAAAATTTGTCATGTATATCATACTTGTAAAAAATTAAATCGATTGGATATCAAAAACCATGTGAACTAAAAGTTTTATTAAACAATAAAATTATCTATTAAATTTTTTTAATAAATAGTTTTTAGTTCTTCTGATATTCGATCAATTTGATTTTTTACAAGTATGATCTACATGACAAATTTTAAAATGTGAATGATTCAAATTATCGAAATTAAATCCAAAAATAAGTTCGATGACCCATCAAATAAGGAGTCAAGTACAAAAAGTCAAGGAGAGATCCTTGCTCACACCCTCGGTTATGTGGCAAGTAATTTTCCCTAATAATAAAAAGGAAAATGTTAGGTTTCATGAAGAATTTTCATGAAAATCATCTGCACCGTTAGATCAGGTATGTATCTCATGATCCAACGGTACAGATGATTTTCATGAAACCTAGCAGAAAGTTTTCATGAAAGTCACTGTGAAATAAAAAATCCACTGTCTCTTTTCTTCCACGGTCTCTTGTCACTGTTTTATTTCCACTGTCTCTTGTCTCTAGTCACCGTGAAATAAAAAATCCACTGTCTCTTGTCACTGTGAAATAAAAAGAGGCCATCTCTAGTGGGTCGAATATGGAAAACACATTTGCCTTTTGAAATATAAAATAAAGAAAAGAAAACTGTCTCTTTCTGTATTTTCTCTCTCCTTGCTCTTTTTGCTTTGTTACTTTTGAAAAAATCTCACAACCCAAATAACAATATAAAGGTAAAGCGCTGTCGTATGCATTTTGTGTGAGAGTTTGGTGAAAATGAGACCGTTTGAACCACGGGTTGTGGCTCCGCCACCGCCACCGCCACCGCCTGAATCTGCTCTTCAAGCTCCGCCGTCTGAATCAGTAGTTCAAGTTCCTCCTGAATTGCCGATGCTAGTCGTAGAGTTCTGCTTGACAGCAGCTTTTGAAATTGCCATCCGATCCACCCAGACTCCTACTACGCAATACTACTCTATAACCTTCCACTTGCTGTGTCTGGTAATGGTGTTTGCGTTTGCTTTTATCTTTGTTGCCAAATACATTTCTTCCAAGCACCCAAACCTAGGCCGCGTGCTCGAGCACGCTGGAGTAGTCTGTGGAGTTACCGCTTTCTTTGTTGCCATCACAGTCTCTTTCCCGCTCTGCCTCAAGGTTATTTCCAGGATCGTATACGCTCTTTCATTGCTAGCAATTTTTATCTTCAATTGCTGAATCCTAGCAGAGACGATTGTTACTGTCAGTCAGGTTGCTTTTTATGGATATCATGTTTGTGGCCATTGTTAATGTAGGACTAGTAGTACTTAAACTTGCATGGATAGGATTTGGGAGTCTTTAACTTCCTGCGGTAAGTACGCTATTTGTCAGTCAGGTTGCTTTTTATGGATATTATGTTTGTGGCCATTGTTAATGTTTGCCAGTCAGGTTGCTTTTTATGGATATTATGTTTGTGGCCATTGTTAATGTAGGACTAGTAACACTTAAACTTCCATGGATAGGATTTGGGAGTCTTTAACTTCCTGCAGTAAGTATGCTATTTGTAAAATGGGCTTGTTTTTTGGAATTACTTCCATCAATTAAGTCATTAGTATAGTTTCACTTTATGATTACGTATTGTTTGTGAAGGCGTAAACACCAGCGTATGATTGATTGAATAGTTTTGTTGGACACAGTAGGGAGGAACTCCCATTTGCAAAAAATTTCGGATCTGGAGTCTAAATTTCAATTGTTTACTTTTCCTCTTCAATTCACTAGAAGATAATTGTAGAAACTAAGGGATTGCATTGACTGTTCACAAGAAATGTGCATTTGATCCCAAAAGCAATGTTGTTAATGCAATTTAGTGATGGGAAGCAAATAGTGAACATTTTTGTTACTTAACTTCGATTATTAATAAGCATGATGAGGTTGGAGGTGCTACAATTCATAAGTTCAAAATATGCTGGTTCAAGTGGAAGAATACTTTGGCATATTATGTAGTTCATATGCATTTATTTAATTAACTAAGTAGCATAATGGTAAAAAATTATTTATGTAGCTGATCTCACTTGAATGGGATACAAAACTTAATTTTGATTTGGCTTGGTTTAGTTATGGGGCATATTCAATAATTGAATTCCATTAAAAACCCAGAAGAAAAAAAGGAAAAGAATTCAAGGAACAAATCCCACTGCACATATGGTCACCACTTTTCAAAATGATGTGAAAATATGTTGGAGAATCTGTTATGGAAGGTCAGCTCCTTCTTCTTTCCTATGTAATCTTTGGCTATATATTTGGTATTTCACGTGAACAATTTGTAAGTATCAACAAAAAATCCCAAAAGCTAATGAAGTTTCTACTTAGATTTCTTCTAGAATACAAAAGCAATTCCACATCAAAAACAATAGGAGTCGCTTAAATTTCTTATTAAAAATTATTTATGAGGTGAAGATGATGGTCATTAATGCACTTTGATGTCATCTAATGTGGTACAAATGCTTTTATTTGTGTGCCAACATCTTAAAAATGTCTCTCATGTTCAAACAAGAAATTCTGTTGAAATGTCTGTTGACAAATTGGTTGATGATGGATTGTATTGTTAATTTAGTGGTTCAACTTTTCACTATGAGTGTCATGAATAATAGAAAATTACAAGTTAAATAAATTACACTAGCAATATCAATTTGTTGCATGATTTCTTTTCCCTTTCCTAAGTGAGACTTGCTTGTTGATGACTTCTTGCCTTGTTTATAGATATGACTTTGATATGTTTCCACATACAAATATATATATCGAATGGTGTAATATCCCTTATTTTTTGAACTAAAATATTAGTTATTGATTTCATCTAATCATTAATGCCAACCGTGTGAACTGCTATAATATGGTACTGAAGTTGATTACATTTTGCTCTTTGAAGGGATTGGAAATAAAAAAAGAAGCATGAAATGGAATAACAGGTACACAATACATGTCCTATTCTTGAACTTTATGTTCTCTGTTTTGTATTTGTATGTGAAAAATCTAGAAATCCCCTAGATGTTGATTTGTGATTATGTATCAATTTTAAGCAGAATATAACAATCCCAATCAAACAATCAAGACAAAGAGACACAACGATTTAACGTGGAAAAAACCACAATTGGACACCTCCAACTGTGATCAAAAAACCACGGGCAACAGCCACAAGACAATCCACTAAGAAGAATTAAAGGAATTACACAGGTATACTCTCAATTACCTAGCGAATCCACAACGCCTAATTGAACCAACCTTTATGTGCCTCTTCCAACCCCATCTTCACCACGGAATTGTCTTTCTGATGAGCCACTCTGGATTCTACCAAAGCTTCAGGCTCGAATTCTTCAGAATCCACAACTGAAGAACAACTCTCTCTTTTGTGTATAACAAACAAACCTTTGATGTACTCTCTTTAAATCATGAGTTGAAGACTCAATAAAAGCATCAAAGAAAACAAACAAAATATCTCCAGATATAAACCTTAAGATCTAAAAAATAAGATCTGGAGAACTTCAATCAATCACCTAGTTTTGGGAGAAAACCAAGTATTTATAGAGAACCAAAAGTAATCCTAGATTTGGAAGAAAACAAACTCCTTGAAAAATCCGGATTCTGAGGCTCGCTCGACCCCCGTAATAATCAGCGAAGTGGCAATCTTGAAAGCATTAACATCACAAACTTCTCTGCATGGTTCGATTCGGGTTTGGATTCGCATCTAATAAACTCATAGCCTCACTGAAATAAAAGTGCGAAAATAAATACATCTTAAAGGAGTTTTGTCAAACGGGGTTGCCAAGAATAAAAACCTAACAGTATGTATGCTTTTTGAACTTGTATTCACTACTTAATTGTTTCAAGTATATGCTTCAAATTTGCATAACAGTGCATTTCGATTATATTGATTTACAATGTGTTAAGTTGTATTTAGTTTTCTTGTAAATTTTGTAGAGCATTTCTTCCATTGTGCAACATCATCTATTTCTAACTGAATTATAATAAATGTAGATGGATCTCATAGCATTTTTTTCATTTGAATAACATGTCATTTTTCATTTGGTAACCCAAGCTACATAAATCTCAGTTTGCATGGCTGCATGCTGATATTTGCCATTGAAGTTATGCAAATGTTGTAAAACATTGAACTCTTTCTTTTGAAGTACCCAGAGTAGTCTATAAACTGATATGCGATTCAATGGGAATATGCATAGTGGCTCATAGGGCTAACTAACAACATAACCTATATCTAGGAAAGTATGAGATGGATTAATTAACTTACCAACCAGCCTTTGATATCTCTATAAGTTTTTGAATAATAATCTGTATATTCAATTGTGAAACAATACAATGTGTACATCTTATTTATATAGCAATTCTAGGCCTAATCCTAAATAGGAAACAAGAATAAACTTAAGAATAAAATATTCATACAATCTAACATAATCTAAAATATTCACACCACTATATATTCTAATAATCTCACAATCTCTCCCTATCAAATGAATCTTTAGTTTCAACCCGTGCAATTCTACTGCAACATGGTATCAATAGCTTTATACCCAAGCACACTTTGTCCTTAAAAAGGTCCAAAAAGTATGTTCTTGGTGAGATAAACACTCTCTTTGAGATGTTGCAACATCAATACTCAAGAAGTGCTTTAAGTTACCAAAGTCTTTTATCTCATACTCCTCCTACATTTCTTATATATCAAATATCATCAGCATACACAAGGAGTGTAGTAACCTTGTTTTCATTTGAATGTTAAATAAATTGGGTACGGTCATCTTGACTCAATTTGTAGCCACATCTAAGCATAGCCCAAGTAAACATCTCAAATCATGCTCTAGCAGACTTTGTAACTCATATAATGCCTTTTTAATCTTGCACACTCCCATCAACTGAGAAATCTTCAAAGCTAGGTGGAACATCCATAAATAGTTCTTCCTCTAAGTCTTCATAGAATAAAGCATTCCTCATATCTAATTGTTAAAGAGGCTCAATATGTTAATTCTCTAGAATAGCCCACATGAATAGCTTTCGAAACGACAATGCTGTGAATTTCAGTTAATCTGAGTTCTTAACTAACTTGCCATGAGTCAAAATCGCATGCTCATATCAGTGAGTTTTTTCAAGAGTATGTCATATCAGAGAAATTCTGCCTTGTTGCAAACTTGCCTCCACATCGTCTGGCTTACTTATTCTCTTTTTTGCAAAATGTGCTTTAAGCTACATGAAAAGTTCATGAGTACCATCATTTCTTCTAATCTGGATTTTTGCATGACTTTGTAGATACATCTCTTATTGAACATAACTTCAAAAGCTTGATAAGTGATGACCTTTCAATGATCTTTGGTGCTATTACTGGAATAAGACAACCAACTTTACTGGATAATTGTACTTGATTAACTGGCATAAGCAAATAATATGAAGTACCATGCACTTAGAAGGTATTGATCATTCTTAGTGACTCCTATTAGTTCTTATGTTTCATTTTACATCCTTTAACATTTACTCATTATGAATGACTGCATATTTTCTTCATAGAATACTTGCATGTTGAAGGCAGTGAAGCTGTAATATCTACTCAGACAATTCTCGCATCCTAATTATCTCTAGCATGTGAGTGATTTTATCTATACATTATCCACTTATTATGTAAATGAATTCAAATTTCCAGTCGCAGGATGTTGATAAATGAAACACTGTCAACTGCAAATCCTTGGACTTGCCAAAAAAAGAAAAAAAAAAGAGGTAGATACATCAACTTATACTAATATATGATGAACAAAGTATTCCAGTTCATATTCAATTACTATATGCTGATATGTCAATAGCTAGGGACTTCAGTTTGCTTGTTAGAGGCTTATTACCATCGATTTTACTGCTTTGTTAGTGTAACTCTGTTGGGTTCTACGTTAGTTTCATCAGTGATATGAACAATTAAGATTACTGGAAATCTGTTAGTCTCAACGTAGAGAGTTCTACCCGCTGAAGCTAGCAAATGCTAATTTTTATTTCGAGTCAGCTTGAGGATGGTTGGACTGTGGCAATGCATTTTTCTATTGGTTAAATGGTGGATCATCTCCCATCAGCAACAACAAAAAAAATATATATATTGGATCATCAATCTTACATGGCAATAATATTCTCTATTGTACGCTAAGAAGCACAAACATGGATACAGATATGAACACGGACATAAATGCGGACATGAGACACAACAATTTCAAAAAATGGAGACAAGGACGTAGCGGGGACACGGCAATAAAATATGTTTTATATATTTTTATTTGCTATCTAGATTAATATTACATCCATAAATAATCGATATTAACAAAAACTAACACTACAAGAAAATACACTTTTGGCGACTAATTTTTTAGTCGCCAAAAGTATTAATTTTAGTCACCGAAATACTTTGCTGTCCAAAAATTTTGATCGCTAGCTTTGTCGCGAATACATCGTTGGTGAAGGTATTAGCGACTAAAAAAATTTAGTCGCTAAAAGTCCTACAAAATGCCAACTAATAGTTTAGTAGGCAAAAGTAACAGGTATTAGCGACTAAAAGTGGCTTAGTCGCTGATGAGTGACATTGGCGACTAACATATTAGTCGCCCAAAGGGTAAATCAATTCGTTTAACTCACATCTTCAGCTACTAAATCTTTTGTCGCGAAAACTTCAAATATCTACGGGGACCAAATTAGTAGTCGCCAATAGTGTTCTTTTAGCTACTAAATGTTTAGTCGCGGAAAGGTTGATTCTTGTTTAGTTACTACACAGGTTAGTTGCCTATGATTTTTAATTATGTTTTGGCGACTAAATATTTAGTCGCCAAAAGTGTTTTGAGTTTTAGCTACTAAACAATTAGTCGCCAAAACTATTTTCGATTCGTTTTGGCTACTAAATATATAGTCGCCAAAAGTGTTTTTCGTTTTAGCTACTAAACAAATTAGTCGCCAAAACTGTTTTCAATTCATTTTGGCTACTAAATATTTAGTCGCCAAAAGATTTATTTCTTTTTGGCTACCAATTGTTTTGTCACCAAAAACGTCATTTTATATTTTTGTTTTGTTTTTTTCATTTTAATAAATTTTTTCATAACCTGTATGTATCCACCACAACCTGTCATAGGTATACAAACAAATCAATATATATATATTATCACCTATTCCGTAATGCATGTTTCACTTACAACCATCAAACAGAAAAGAACACCTTCTAATGTAAACTTATATACAAACCAACTATATATATTCCAATTACAAATAATAACGTCATACATTCCAAATACGTTACAAAAACAATGTCCTCTGTACACAAAACATTTTTACTATACTATGCATTGTAATGACCATTTGGCATGGTACAAATTACCATGGTAATACGTACCACGACAAAAGGTAATCTATATATACCACTAGAGCAATTAATACAAGTTCCAAAAATACTATGTACCCCACCAAAAATTATATGTACGATGCATCCAAATTCCACACAAAAAGTAGAGGACGACAAAAAAATTCCCAAATTTGCAAAACCGTGAATTATCTTCCGGGCAAAAAAATAGAAGATCCGCATGTCAATGCCAAAAGCCATCTACACAATAAAAATTACACCCATTAGTTCCATTGTAAACAAAACTTGTAAACAAAAAGTTACAGCCATCTACAAAACACAAATTGCAAGGATGTCAATTGTAATTGAAATTGTATTTAAATATAGTTTGAATTTATGAAGTAATGGTTAAAAGTTTTTAACTGTTGAAACTAGGACACATAAAATGAGATGGAGAGGGGATTATAAAATTTTAATTATCAGTTTACAACACTTCTCATTTCAGCTTTCTCCATCATATGTGCACGCTCCTTTCACACTCCAACCCAACATGGTGCTCACTTGGTCTTATAGAAAATGAAGGATCTAAATCTCCACAATGACAATATGTGAAATTGTGGAAATGTATGTATTGTGTACAATATTGTACTAGAATAAAACTTAATGCACTTGTAAACTCAATGCACTTGGAAACTCAATGTAAAAGTATGTACTGTATAACATTTACGTTGACTTATAGAACAAAGTCTACTTAAATGTGTTGGTATTGTCAAAATCTTGGCAATCATGATCGAAAGTCACAAATAGGTTACAATTCATATGGGTTAGGTTGAGTTGAGAGTTTATTCAAGTTCAGTCTAAAGTGTAAAGAAATTTCCTAAGTCAGGCATGAGCCCCAAGTCAAGTTTAGTCTAAAGTGTAAACATATATATATATATATATTATTCATAAAACTACATATATAGAGATGCTTATAGAACATATATATTTATAAGCTTCAATATATATTTATAAGTGGCATTTGTCACACCAACTCCCAATGTACGCGTGCTAATTACGTCCCGTCTGACCCCACATATCCTATTTGACATGAGGAAACTACCCGTGGCATCCATAGAGTGCTTCGGGGCCTGCTTTGAATTTTCGGCTAAATTTATGGCGTTTTTCATGCTAACTCCCAACATACGCGTGCTAATTACGTCCCGTCTGTCCCCACAGGTCCTATTTGATACGAAGAAGCTACCGGTGCCATCCATAGAGTGGTTCGGGGGCTGTTTTTAATTTCCGGCCCTGAAAGGCCTTTTTCGGCTAAGTTTATGGCGTTTTTCATGCCAACTCCCAATGTACACGTGCTAATTACGTCCCGTCTATCCCCATAGGTCCTATTTGACACAAGGAAGCTACCCGTGCCATCCCTACAGTGGTTCAAGGGTTGCTTTCAATTTTCGGCCCTCAAAGGCCCTTTTCGGCTAAGTTTATGGCGTTTTCCACACCAACTCCCAACATACACGTGCTAATTACGTCCCATCTATCCCCACAGGTCCTATTTGACACAAGGAAGCTACCCATGCCATCCCTACAGTGGTTCGGGGACTGCTTTCAATTTTTGGCCCTCGAAGACCTTTTTCGGCTAAGTTTATGGTGTTTTTCACGCCAACTCCCAACGTACACGTGCTAATTAGGTCCTGTCTATCCCCACAAGTCCTACTTGACACAAGAAAGCTACCCGTGCCATCCCTATAGTGGTTCGGGGGCTGCTTTCAATTTTCGGCCCTCGAAGGCTTTTTTCGGCTAAGTTTATGACGTTTTCCACGCCAACTCCCAACGTACACGTGCTAATTGCGTCCCGTCTATCCCCACAGGTTCTATTTGACACAAAGAAGCTACCTGTGCCATCCTTATAGTGGTTCGGGGGCTGCTTTCAATTTTCGGCCCTCGAAGGCCATTTTCGGCTAAGTTTATGGATTTTTCACGCCAACTCCCAACGTACACGTGCTAATTACATCCCGTCTATCCCCACAGGTCGTATTTGACACAAGAAAGCTACTCGTGCCGTCCTTACAGTGGTTGGGGGGCTGCTTTTAATTTTCGGCCCGCGAAGGCCATTTTCGCCTAAGTTTATGGCTTTTTCACGCCAACTCCCAATGTACACGTGCTAATTACGTCCCGTCTATCCTCTTAGGTCCTATTTGACACAAGAAAGCTACCTGTGCCATTCTTACAGTGGTTCAAGGGCTGTTTTCAATTTTCGGCCCTCGAAGGCCATTTTCGGCTAAGTTTATGGCTTTTTCACGCCAACTCCCAACGTACACGTGCTAATTACGTCCCGTCTATCCCCACAAATCCTATTTGACACAAGAAAGCTACCTGTGCCATCCCTACAGTGGTTTGGGGGCTGCTTTCAATTTTCGGCCCTCGAAGGCCTTTTTCAGCTAAGTTTATGGCATTTTCCACGCCAACTCCCAACGTACACGTGCTAATTACGTCCTGTCTATCCCCAAAGGTCCTACTTGACACAAGGATGCTACCTGTGCCATCCGTACAGTGGTTCGTGGGCTGCTTTCAATTCTCGACCCTCGAAGGCCATTTTCGGCTAAGTATATGGCGTTTTTCATGCCAACTCTCAACGTACACGTGCTAATTGCGTCCCGTCTGTCTCCACAGGTATTATTTGACACAAGGAAGCTACCCATGCTATCCGTACAGTGGTTCGAGGGCTGCTTTCAATTTTTGGCCCACGAAAGCCTTTTTCGACTAAGTTTATGGCGTTTTTCACGCCAATTCCCAACGTACATGTGCTAATTACGTCCCGTCTGACCCCACAGATCTTATTTGACCCAAGGAAGCTACCCATGCCATTCGTACAGTGGTTTGGGGGCTACTTTCAATTTTCAACACTCGAAGGCCTTTTTCGGCTAAGTTTATGGCGTTTTCCATGCCAACTCCCAACGTACACGTGCTAATTACGTCCAAAGGATTCAACATGGTCGATAGGGGAAAAAGACCCAGAATTATGTTGATTACAACTCAAATAAAATCATGATTCAATGTTGGGAACTCCTAATCCACAATGAGGCTTTCATTAATTTATTTCACGTATTAGCATCCTTTTTAGGCAACAAAAATTACAATTTTATAGTGGAATTATTGAGACATGGCAAACAAAATACTTGTGAAATGTAAATATTGTTAAACAATTGGGTATATAACAACTGTAATTGTTGTCTAGTAACAGACCCCAAAACTCTAGAAACAATGACTAGGTTCATTGTACGGAGAAGTGTTAAAAAAATATATACTGATTGACTCGACTAAATCCTACTAAATGCTTCTAACTTAAAATTCAAATAACATTTTAGTTTTCTAAAAAATCAGTTTTTAGTTTGGTTTTATTGTCAACACTAAAACTGACCAA